GTGTTAGTGTGTACGCGTGTTAGTGTTTTAGTGTGTACGCGTGCTAGTGTGTACGCGTGTTAGTGTGTACGCGTGCTAGTGTGTACGCGTGCTAGTGTGTTAGTGTGTACGCGTGCTAGTGTGTTAGTGTGTACGCGTGTTAGTGTGTACGCGTGTTAATGTGTACGCGTGTTAGTGTTTTAGTGTGTACGCGTGTTAGTGTACGCGTGTTAGTGTGTACGCGTGCTCGTGTATACGCGTGCTAGTGTGTACGCGTGCTAGTGTGTTAGTGTGTACGCGTGTTAGTGTGTACGCGTGTTAGTGTTTTAGTGTGTACGCGTGCTAGTGTGTACGCGTGCTAGTGTGTACGCGTGCTAGTGTGTTAGTGTGTACGCGTGTTAATGTGTACGCGTGTTAGTGTTTACGCGTGCTAGTGTGTTAGTGTGTACGCGTGTTAGTGTGTACGCGTGCTAGTGTGTTAGTGTGTACGCGTGTTAATGTGTACGCGTGTTAGTGTGTACGTGTGTTAGTGTGTACGCGTGCTAGTGTGTACGCGTGTTAGTGTGTACGCGTGCTAGTGTGTGTGTGCTAGTGTGTACGTGTTAGTGTCTACGTGTGCTAGTGTGTACGCGTGCTAGTGTGTACGTGTGTTAGTGTGTACGCGTGCTAGTGTGTGAGTGTGTAGGCGTGTTAGTGTGTACGCGTGTTAGTGTTTTAGTGTGTACGCGTGTTAGTGTGTACGCGTGCTAGTGTGTACGCGTGTTAGTGTGTACGCGTGTTAGTGTGTACGCGTGCTAATGTGTTAGTATGTACGCGTGCTAGTGTGCACGTGTGTCAGTGTGTGGGTAGCGGCAGTGTAGCGGTCAGCGCGCTGCGCTACGAACCCAGCGACCCGGGATCGATTCCCGCTCACGGCCAACACCAGTGACGATTATCTGAACCGGTTCTGGGCCTCCCCTAGGTCGACTCAGCCTCAAATGAGTACCTGGTGTGACGTGTAAACATCGCTACTGGGGAGATAAAGGCGGTCAGGGGTGGTGCTGGCCACCACCCACCCCCTTATAGGTGCTCGCTAACAGCACTTGCCCCGACAGTCTGTTAAGGCTATACGGGGGATCTTTGTATTTGTTAGTGTGTGCGAGTGTGCGTCCGTGTGTGACCTTGTGGGGAGCGATCGGTCAGCTCACGGCTAAACATCGGTGGCGAATATTTGAACCCAGTCCAGGTAGGCCATCCCATTAGGTCAACTCAGACTTGCCATGGTCCATAGGACTGGTGTGTAGATCAACAACATAGGACAGGTGTGTAGATTATTTAAAGATCAACAACGAGGGAGACAAAGGCGGCCGGACGCTGTGTTTGCCACCCACTCTGCCGTCGTGTGCCAGTGTCGACCTTTGTTGGTGCTACTCGCTAACAGCACTTGCCCCAGCAGCCTGTGGAGGTTACATGGCGTGTATTTGTCTTTGTGACAATCTTATTTGCGAAACTTTATTTGACACCGGACACAAGTTTGGGGAAAGGGTGAGTGGGTGGGGGTTTGCGTCTTACTTCCCAGGGAGTCTTAGAGTCCGCAGCCTGCGGTGTGACTTATCTGTGGCCGCATACCTCTCTCGCCGTGAAACCGGAGTGACCTGTTTTGAGGACCCCTCCACCACCCCACACTCCGCGCGTTCCTTCACGTGGGCTCGTGGCGCTGTGCCCTGGGCGCTGGGCCGCACTGACAGGACACAGTGTACACAAAGACAAAGATGCCTCGTGTAGCCTCAACATACTGTTGGGGCAAGTGCTGTTACCGAGTAGCATCTATATGAAGGCCGGCACGGGGCAAGAGGGGGTGGCCAAGACCACGCCCGGCCGCCTTTGTCTCCCGAGTGGCGATATTTGCACAACGCACCAGGCACTCATTTGAGGCTGAGTCGACCTAGGGGAGGCCCAGGACCGGTTAAGATAATCGTCACTGGTGTTGGCCCACTCCACAGACACAGACAGTCGCGGGTGTGTGTATGTGAGAGAGAGAGTAATAATACCACCCCGTGTGCTCGCGTGTGTGAGAGAGAGAGTAGTCAAGCGGCTTTCTCCAACACGTCCCCGTGAGTGGCACTAGGCGTGTATGTATATGCACTGTCCCCAATAGTTTGTGAAAGCTATGCGGGGGATTTTTGTCCCTGGGTATGTATGTGCCGTGTCGGCCTTCATTAATGCAACACTTTCCCCCAAGGGCCTGTTGTGTGCGTGAGTTGGGAGCCGTCGTGCAGCGGGAAGCGCGCTATGCTACGAACCCGACACCCCAGTTCGATTCCCGCTCACGGCCTCAAATGAGTAGCTGCTGTGATGTGTAAACATCGCCACTGGAGAGACAAAGGCGGCTGGGCGTGGTGCTGGCCACCCACCCTCTCGTGTGCCGTCATCGGTGCTTGCTAACAGCACTTGCCCCATCCATCTGTCAAAAGCTATAGGGGGATCTTTGTCTGTGTGTCTCCGTTGTTCGATTGACAGGTTCCTCCCCGCCTCTACGCTCCCAGCACGGGGAAGCAGAACCATGTTCTCAATGCTGAGCCTACCTAGGGGAGAGACGGACCCAGTCAATACCCAGGAGCAGCAGCAGCAACAACAACAACAGCTCGCGTCTTCCCCGGGCCGACAGCTCCTGTTACGTGGGGTGAGTGATGAGCGATTGTGTGTGCGTGTGTGGGGTGTTGTGTGAACGTGTGCGTGTGTGGGGTGTTGTGTGAACGAGTGCGTGTGTGGGGTGTTGTGTGAACGTGTGCGTGTGTGGGGTGTTGTGTGAACGAGTGCGTGTGTGGGGTGTTGTGTGAACGTGTGTGGGGTGTTGTGTGAACGTGTGCGTGTGTGGGGTGTGGTGTGAACGTGGGCGTGTGTGGGGGTGTTGTGTGAACGTGTGTGGGGTGTTGTGTGAACGAGTGCGTGTGTGGGGTGTTGTGTGAACGTGTGCGTGTGTGGGGTGTTGTGTGAACGTGTGCGTGTGTGGGGTGTGGTGTGAACGTGGGCGTGTGTGGGGTGTTGTGTGAACGTGTGCGTGTGTGGGGTGTTGTGTGAACGTGTGCGTGTGTGGGGTGTGGTGTGAACGTGGGCGTGTGTGGGGTGTTGTGTGAACGAGTGCGTGTGTGGGGTGTTGTGTGAACGTGTGCGTGTGTGGGGTGTTGTGTGAACGTGTGCGCGTGTGGGGTGTTGTGTGAACGTGTGCGTGTGTGGGGTGTTGTGTGAACGTGTGTGGGGTGTTGTGTGAACGTGTGTGGGGTGTTGTGTGAACGAGTGCGTGTGTGGGGTGTTGTGTGAACGAGTGCGTGTGTGGGGTGTTGTGTGAACGAGTGCGTGTGTGGGGTGTGGTGTGAACGTGTGTGGGGTGTTGTGTGAACGAGTGCGTGTGTGGGGTGTTGTGTGAACGAGTGCGTGTGTGGGGTGTTGTGTGAACGAGTGCGTGTGTGGGGTGTGGTGTGAACGAGTGCGTGTGTGGGGTGTTGTGTGAACGAGTGCGTGTGTGGGGTGTTGTGTGAACGAGTGCGTGTGTGGGGTGTTGTGTGAACGAGTGCGTGTGTGGGGTGTTGTGTGAACGAGTGCGTGTGTGGGGTGTTGTGTGAACGAGTGCGTGTGTGGGGTGTTGTGTGAACGTGTGCGTGTGTGGGGTGTTGTGTGAACGAGTGCGTGTGTGGGGTGTTGTGTGAACGTGTGTGGGGTGTTGTGTGAACGTGTGCGTGTGTGGGGTGTGGTGTGAACGTGGGCGTGTGTGGGGGTGTTGTGTGAACGTGTGTGGGGTGTTGTGTGAACGAGTGCGTGTGTGGGGTGTTGTGTGAACGTGTGCGTGTGTGGGGTGTTGTGTGAACGTGTGCGTGTGTGGGGTGTGGTGTGAACGTGGGCGTGTGTGGGGTGTTGTGTGAACGTGTGCGTGTGTGGGGTGTTGTGTGAACGTGTGCGTGTGTGGGGTGTGGTGTGAACGTGGGCGTGTGTGGGGTGTTGTGTGAACGAGTGCGTGTGTGGGGTGTTGTGTGAACGTGTGCGTGTGTGGGGTGTTGTGTGAACGTGTGCGCGTGTGGGGTGTTGTGTGAACGTGTGCGTGCGTGGGGTGTTGTGTGAACGTGTGTGGGGTGTTGTGTGAACGTGTGTGGGGTGTTGTGTGAACGAGTGCGTGTGTGGGGTGTTGTGTGAACGAGTGCGTGTGTGGGGTGTTGTGTGAACGAGTGCGTGTGTGGGGTGTGGTGTGAACGTGTGTGGGGTGTTGTGTGAACGAGTGCGTGTGTGGGGTGTTGTGTGAACGAGTGCGTGTGTGGGGTGTTGTGTGAACGAGTGCGTGTGTGGGGTGTTGTGTGAACGAGTGAGGGGTGTTGTGTGAACGAGTGCGTGTGTGGGGTGTTGTGTGAACGAGTGCGTGTGTGGGGTGTTGTGTGAACGAGTGCGTGTGTGGGGTGTGGTGTGAACGTGTGTGGGGTGTTGTGTGAACGTGTGTGGGGTGTTGTGTGAACGTGTGCGTGTGTGGGGTGTGGTGTGAACGAGTGCGTGTGTGGGGTGTTGTGTGAACGTGTGTGGGGTGTTGTGTGAACGAGTGCGTGTGTGGGGTGTTGTGTGAACGAGTGCGTGTGTGGGGTGTTGTGTGAACGAGTGCGTGTGTGGGGTGTTGTGTGAACGAGTGCGTGTGTGGGGTGTGGTGTGAACGTGTGTGGGGTGTTGTGTGAACGTGTGTGGAGTGTTGTGTGAACGTGGGCGTGTGTGGGGTGTTGTGTGAACGTGTGCGTGTGTGGGGTGTTGTGTGAACGTGTGCGTGTGTGGGGTGTGGTGTGAACGAGTGCGTGTGTGGGGTGTGGTGTGAACGTGGGCGTGTGTGGGGTGTTGTGTGAACGTGTGCGTGTGTGGGGTGTGGTGTGAACGTGTGTGGGGTGTTGTGTGAACGAGTGCGTGTGTGGGGTGTTGTGTGAACGTGTGCGTGTGTGGGGTGTTGTGTGAACGAGTGCGTGCGTGGGGTGTTGTGTGAACGTGTGTGGGGTGTTGTGTGAACGTGTGCGTGTGTGGGGTGTTCTATGAACTGGTACAGAGCAACGTTTATTGACCGCGTGACAGGGCTGTCACCAGTCGAGACTTGACCCGGACAATCTGTGGCAGAGGTGGCAGCCCTAACAGACCCTCTCGGCTACCCACTTCACGTCACTCAGTAACCCACCCACCCACTTACTCAAATAGCCGCAACATCACCGCTACTTTCACAATTTGGCAGGAAAACAAAATCAGAATTTGCCTCCCTCGGCATACACATATAACAACAGTATGTTGTGCAAATCTCATGAGGTTCACGGCCGCCACGGAGTGCATATTATCAGCAGCATTGCGTCCACAGCAGACACACTCTAGACCGGTTTTGACATCAATGTCTCATCAGCAGGGTCGCGTCCTTGAATTCTACCGGGTGAAGCGATGGGGCTGTGGGTCAGTGCGCTTACCATTGCACCACCACTCCCCTTTTCTTCCCCGCCATACCTAAATAAATAAATACACACGTTAAATTAGGCAACCTTAAGGCTCAGCGTCCCCGGATGTACAGATGAGGGGGCGGATTTGTAACTCACCGCACGCAGACAGAGACGCGCAGAGAGAGAGACGCGCAGAGACAAAACCGCGTAGACATTGCCACGTGGATAGACAGAGGCGGAGACGGGGAGACACAGAAGCTCGGGGCATGCGGAGGACTCGCTTCATACGGTGCGTGGCACAGTTGTGAGTGTGTCCGTGTGTGTGTGTGTCTGTAAGTTAGCTCTGGGGAGCGGTAGTGTAGCGGTTAGCGTGCTGCGCTACGAACCCGGCGACCCCAGTTCGATTCCCGCTCATTGCCAACACTGTGAGCGATTCCCGATTATCTGAATCGGGCCTGGGCCTCCCCTAGGTCGACTCAGCCTAAAACGAGTGCCTGGTGCGGTGTGTAAACATCGCCACTAGGGAGACAAATACGGTCGGGTGTGGTGGTTATCGCTAACAGTACTTGCCCCAACAGCCTGTTAAAGGCTATACGGGGATCTGTGTCTTTGTGTGTTCTTTGAGCTCAAATAACAGCCGGTAACATTCGGCAAAAGCATTGCCCTGAAAGGGGGGAAACTATCGGCGACGTTACGGGAAATGGCCCTTTGTGATGCTGCGTTGGCAATGCACCATCACTAATGCAGTTTGACAGCAATGTACAGTCTAGTTAATAGGTGCTCGCTAACTGCACTCGCTCCAGACGGGAGGGTAACAGTGTATATTGTGTGCTTGTACACTCCACTGCTGGATGAGGGCCGCCCCACGCCCCGCCAACAACAATCAACAGCTCAGCATATTCGTCAGCAACACTCCTGTGTTGCCTCTTCAGGGCTATTGCCCGAAACGTCGTCCGTCTATATACATTAAAGACCACGTACTCACTCTGTGCTGTCGCCGGGGGTATGAGGGGACCCCACGGGGTACGTGTGGCAATGTCCAAGGGGGTACGTGTGGCGATGTCCCAGGGGGTACGTGTGGCGATGTCCCACGGGGTACGTGTGGCGATGTCCCTGGGGGTACGTGTGGCGATGTCCCACGGGGTACGTGTGGCGATGTCCCACGGGGTACGTGTGGCGATGTCCCAGGGGGTACGTGTGGCGATGTCCCACGGGGTACGTGTGGCGATGTCCCAGGGGGTACGTGTGGCGATGTCCCACGGGGTACGTGTGGCGATGTCCCTGGGGTACGTGTGGCGATGTCCCAGGGGGTACGTGTGGCGATGTCCCACGGGGTACGTGTGGCGATGTCCCTGGGGGTACGTGTGGCAATGTCCCACGGGGTACGTGTGGTATGTCCCACGAGGTACGTGTGGCGATGTCCCACGGGGTACGTGTGGCGATGTCCCTGGGGGTACGTGTGGCAATGTCCCACGGGGTACGTGTGGTATGTCCCACGAGGTACGTGTGGCGATGTCCCACGGGGTACGTGTGGCGATGTCCCTGGGGGTACGTGTGGCGATGTCCCAGGGGGTACGTGTGGCGATGTCCCACGGGGTACGTGTGGCGATGTCCCTGGGGTACGTGTGGCGATGTCCCAGGGGGTACGTGTGGCGATGTCCCACGGGGTACGTGTGGCGATGTCCCTGGGGGTACGTGTGGCAATGTCCCACGGGGTACGTGTGGTATGTCCCACGAGGTACGTGTGGCGATGTCCCACGGGGTACGTGTGGCGATGTCCCTGGGGGTACGTGTGGCAATGTCCCACGGGGTACGTGTGGTATGTCCCACGAGGTACGTGTGGCGATGTCCCACGGGGTACGTGTGGCGATGTCCCTGGGGGTACGTGTGGCGATGTCCCAGGGGGTACGTGTGGCGATGTCCCACGGGGTGACATGAGGTGACAATTGGTGATTAATCATGTTGCGTGAATGTGTCAATATAAAATAACTACGATGAAATGTAAATTCGTATGGTAACCTATAACGATATAAAATTCCTTTCTAAACTCATTGGTCGTTATCAAAGGCGGTTTCCGAGAGGAAACAGCTTTGTTTTAGTGTTTTGTGTGTTTAGTGTTTTAGTGTATTAATGTTTTGTGTTTTTGCGTTTTATGGTTTTTGTGTTTTGTGATTTTGTGTTTTAGTGTTTTGTGTTTTTTAGTCTTTTGTGCTTTTGTTTTAGTGTTTTTGTGTTTTATGGTTTTAGTGTTTGTATTTTAGTGTTTCAGTGTTTAAGTGTTTTTGTGTTTGAGTATTTTTGTGTTTTTGTTTTTTGTGTTTAGTGTTTTGTGTTTTAGTGTTTTTGTTTTTTATGTTTTTGTGTTTTAGTCTTTTTGTGTTTTAGTGTTTTTGTGTTTTTGTGTTTTTTATGTTTTTTGTGTTTTAGTGTTTTGTGCTTTAGTTTTTTTGTGTTCTAGTATTTTAGTGTTTTGTGTTTTATGGTTTTAGTGTTTGTATTTTAGTGTTTCAGTGTTTAAGTGTTTTTGTGTTTGAGTATTTTTGTTTTTTGTGTTTAGTGTTTTGTGTTTTAGTGTTTTTGTTTTTTATGTTTTTGTGTTTTAGTCTTTTTGTGTTTTATTGTTTTTGTGTTTTTGTGTTTTTTATGTTTTTTGTGTTTTAGTGTTTTTGTACTTTAGTTTTTTGTGTTCTAGTATTTTAGTGTTTTGTGTTTTATGGTTTTTGTGTTTTGTGCTGTTGTGTTTTAGTCTTTTTGTGTTTTGTGTATTTGTGTTTTATGTTTTTGTGTTTGAGTATTTTTGTGATTTAGTGTTTTGTGTTTTATGGTTTTTGTTTTTTTGTGCTTTTGTGTTTTAGTCTTTTTGTGTTTTAGTGTTTTTGTGTATTTGTGTTTAATGGTTTTTGTGCTTGTGTTTTAGTGTTTTGTGTTTTTGTGTTTTAGTGTTTTGTGTTTTAGTGTTTTGTGTTTTAGTGTTTTTGTGTTTTAGTGTTTTGTGTTTTAGTGTTTTTGTGTATTTGTGTTTCATGGTTTTTGTGCTTGTGTTTTAGTCTTTTGTGTTTTGTGTTTTAGTGTTTTGTGTTTTAGTGTTTTGTGTTTTATGGTTTTAGTGTTTGTATTTTAGTGTTTCACTGTTTTAGTGTTTTTGTGTTTGAGTATTTTTGTGTTTATTTTTTGTGTTTTAGTGTTTTATGTTTTTTGTGCTTTTGTGTTTTAGTCTTTGTGTTTTTGTGTTTTTTGTGTTGTGGTGTTTTGTGTTTTATGGTTTTTGTGTTTTTGTTCTTTTGTCTTTTAGTCTTTATGTTTTTGTGTTTTTCATGTTTTTGTGTTTTATGGTTTTTGTGTTTTAGTGTTTTAGTATTTTAGTGTTTTTATATTTTTGTGTTTTTTATTTAGTGTTTTGTGTTTTATGTTTTTTGTGTTTTAGTATTTTAGTGTTTCAGTGTTTTATGTTTTTGTGTTTGAGTATTTTTGTGTTTTTGTTTTTTGTGTTTTAGTATTTAAGTGTTTTAGTCTTATTGTGTTTGTGTTTTATGTTTTTTGTGTTTTGTGTTGTATGGTTTTTGTGCCTGTGTTTTAGTGTTTTAGTGTTTTTGTGTTTTATGGTTTTTCGTGTTTTAGTATTTTAGTGTTTTAGTGTTTTTATGTTTTTGTGTTTTAGTGTTTTTGTGATTTAGTATTTTTGTGTTTTAGTATTTAAGTGTTTTGTGTTTTAGTCTTCTTGTGTTTGTGTTTTATGGTTTTTGTGTTTTGTGTTGTATGGTTTTTGTGCCTGTGTTTTAGTGTTTTTGTGTTTTAGTATTTTTATGTTTTTGTGTTTTATGGTTTTTCGTGTTTTAGTGTTTTAGTATTTTAGTGTTTTTTATGTTTTAGTGTTTTTGTGTTTTAGTGTTTTTGTGTTTTAGTATTTTTGTGTTTTAGTGTTTTTGTGTTTTTGTGTTTTTTATGTTTTTTGTGTTTTAGTGTTTTGTGCTTTAGTTTTTTTGTGTTCTAGTATTTTAGTGTTTTGTGTTTTATGGTTTTAGTGTTTGTATTTTAGTGTTTCAGTGTTTAAGTGTTTTTGTGTTTGAGTATTTTTGTTTTTTGTGTTTAGTGTTTTGTGTTTTAGTGTTTTTGTTTTTTATGTTTTTGTGTTTTAGTCTTTTTGTGTTTTATTGTTTTTGTGTTTTTGTGTTTTTTATGTTTTTTGTGTTTTAGTGTTTTTGTACTTTAGTTTTTTGTGTTCTAGTATTTTAGTGTTTTGTGTTTTATGGTTTTTGTGTTTTGTGCTGTTGTGTTTTAGTCTTTTTGTGTTTTGTGTATTTGTGTTTTATGTTTTTGTGTTTGAGTATTTTTGTGATTTAGTGTTTTGTGTTTTATGGTTTTTGTTTTTTTGTGCTTTTGTGTTTTAGTCTTTTTGTGTTTTAGTGTTTTTGTGTATTTGTGTTTAATGGTTTTTGTGCTTGTGTTTTAGTGTTTTGTGTTTTTGTGTTTTAGTGTTTTGTGTTTTAGTGTTTTGTGTTTTAGTGTTTTTGTGTTTTAGTGTTTTGTGTTTTAGTGTTTTTGTGTATTTGTGTTTCATGGTTTTTGTGCTTGTGTTTTAGTCTTTTGTGTTTTGTGTTTTAGTGTTTTGTGTTTTAGTGTTTTGTGTTTTATGGTTTTAGTGTTTGTATTTTAGTGTTTCACTGTTTTAGTGTTTTTGTGTTTGAGTATTTTTGTGTTTATTTTTTGTGTTTTAGTGTTTTATGTTTTTTGTGCTTTTGTGTTTTAGTCTTTGTGTTTTTGTGTTTTTTGTGTTGTGGTGTTTTGTGTTTTATGGTTTTTGTGTTTTTGTTCTTTTGTCTTTTAGTCTTTATGTTTTTGTGTTTTTCATGTTTTTGTGTTTTATGGTTTTTGTGTTTTAGTGTTTTAGTATTTTAGTGTTTTTATATTTTTGTGTTTTTTATTTAGTGTTTTGTGTTTTATGTTTTTTGTGTTTTAGTATTTTAGTGTTTCAGTGTTTTATGTTTTTGTGTTTGAGTATTTTTGTGTTTTTGTTTTTTGTGTTTTAGTATTTAAGTGTTTTAGTCTTATTGTGTTTGTGTTTTATGGTTTTTGTGTTTTGTGTTGTATGGTTTTTGTGCCTGTGTTTTAGTGTTTTAGTGTTTTTGTGTTTTATGGTTTTTCGTGTTTTAGTATTTTAGTGTTTTAGTGTTTTTATGTTTTTGTGTTTTAGTGTTTTTGTGATTTAGTATTTTTGTGTTTTAGTATTTAAGTGTTTTGTGTTTTAGTCTTCTTGTGTTTGTGTTTTATGGTTTTTGTGTTTTGTGTTGTATGGTTTTTGTGCCTGTGTTTTAGTGTTTTTGTGTTTTAGTATTTTTATGTTTTTGTGTTTTATGGTTTTTCGTGTTTTAGTGTTTTAGTATTTTAGTGTTTTTTATGTTTTAGTGTTTTTGTGTTTTAGTGTTTTTGTGTTTTAGTATTTTTATGTTTTTGTGTTTTATGGTTTTTCGTGTTTTAGTATTTTAGTGTTTTTATGTTTTTATGTTTTTGTGTTTTTGTGTTTTAGTATTTAAGTGTTTTAGTATTTCAAGTGTTTTAGTGTTTTGTTTTTTTGTGTTTTTGTGTTTTTGTGTTTCAGTGTTTTAGTGGTTTTTGTGTTTTGTGCTGTTGTGTTTTAGTGTTTTGTGTTTTTGTGTTTTATGGTTTTAGTGTTTGTGTTTTCGTGTTCCAGTGTTTTAGTGGTTTTTTTTGTATTTTTGTATTTTTCTTTTTTGTGTTTCAGCGTTTTGTTTTTTATGGTTTTAGTTTTTTTGTGCTTTTGTGTTTTAGTTTTTTTGTGTTTTAGAGTTTTAGTGTTTTTTTGTTTTGTGTTTTAGTGTTTTGTGTTTTAGTGTTTTTGTGTTTCAGTATGTTTATGTTTTTGTGTTTTATGTTTTTTGTGTTGTAGTGTTTTAGTATTTTAGTGTTTTAGTGTTTTTATGTTTTTGTGTTTTTGTGTTTTTGTGTTTTGTTTTATGTTTTTGTGTTTTTGTGTTCGATTGCAGTTACCAGCGAGTTCAGGATACCTCACAAAAATGGCATTCGGTTTCAATATCGAGTTGAATGATGCGTGTTCCATGTTGTGTCAGGCAACGGGGCGAGGGGTGGGGTTACTGGGTTGAAACAGAATTCAAGAAGGAGGCGGTGTGGGTGGGTGGGGGGTGGCAGTGGTAGCCAGGAAAGGTTCGAGCCCCGCGGGGGGTTGGGCTCAAGGTAGCCGACTCTGCCCCCCCGTCCCTCCGTGCGTGTCTCGTCGAGGTAACGATCGGCGCGCGTAATGTTTACGCAGTTACTGCGCCCGGGAGGATGAAGACAAACGCCCCGAGACCACGCGACTCCAAGGTTGGGAAGCACCCCCCCCCCCCTCTCCCGTCGCGCGCCGACCCCGAGACCCCCAACACCCCCGAGACCCCCAACACCCCCGAGACCCCCAACACCCCCGAGACCCCCGAGACCCCCAACACCCCCGAGACCACCAAGTCCCCCGAGACCCCCGAGACCCCCGAGACTCCCGAGGCCCCCAAGACCCCCAACACCCCGAGACCCCCAACACCCCCGAGACCCCCAACACCCCCGAGACCTCCGAGACCCCCAACACCCCCGAGACCCCCGAGACCCCCGAGATCCCCAACACCCCCTAGACCACCAAGTCCCCCGAGATCCCCGAGACTCCCGAGACCCCCGAGACCCCCAACACCCCGAGACCCCCAACACCCCCGAGACCCCCGAGTCCCCCGAGACCCCCGAGACCCCCAACACCCCCGAGACCCCCGAGACCCCCGAGACCCCCAACACCCCCAAGACCCCCGAGATCCCCGAGACCCCCAACACCCCTGAGACCCCCGAGACCCCCCAGTCCCCCGAGACCCCCGAGACCCCCAACACCCCCGAGACCCCCGAGACCCCCAACACCCCCGAGACCCCCAACACCCCCGAGACCCCCGAGTCCCCCGAGACCCCCAACACCCCCGAGACCCCCGAGACCCCCAACACCCCCGAGACCCCCGAGACTCCCGAGACCCCCGAGACCCCCGAGTCCCCCGAGACCCCCAACACCCCCGAGACCCCCGAGACCCCCGAGACCCCCGAGACCCCCAACACCCCCGAGACCCCCGAGACCCCCGAGACCCCCAAGTCCCCCGCTTTGTGGGTTCGGTTCGTCTGCTCTAATTCTCTCGTCTCGCCACAGCACTGGCGTGTGGGTTAAGGGGGTCAATGCGCTTTCTCTTGTGGCTACGAAGAAGGGTCATTGCCCGAAACGTCGCCGATGAATGTGTGCGGAGTGTTTATTTGATGGGGGCTTGTTTTGCGTGGAGTGTTGAAACTTTCACCTGTACCTTGGTCTGTGATCTTGCAATGAAAGGCGCAATAGGAACAGCAAACATGATTCGTGTTAGTGCCCTCGACATCGGATGAACTCTATCGTTCACAAAAGACAGAGATCCTCCGTATGGCATGAACAGATTGTTGGGGCAAGTGCTGTGAGCGACCACCTAATGAAGGCCGGCACGGCACACGAAGGCTCCTCCATTCGCCTGCAACACCCATTCACTCCGGTCACTCTGTATCACTCTTTTATCGTGACTGCCATGGTTTGTGCTCCCGTGAACTTCACACGTTGATTCCTCCAGCCGTGTTGAGGACTCGGCCTGCAGACACCACACTGTGTTCAACCACCACCATTACACTGCAGTTCACAACCACTCACTCAACCACCAACTGAACCACCCACTCACCCACCTACTCAACCACTCACTCACCTACCTACTCAAACACTCACTCACCCACCTACTCAACCACTCACTCACCCACCTACTCAACCACTCACTCACCCATCTACTCAACCACCCACTCACCCACCTACTCAACCACTCACTCACCCATCAACTGAGCCACTCACTCACCCACCTACTCAACCACCCACTCACCCACCTACTCAACCACTCAATTACCTACCTACTCAACCACCCACTCACCCACCAACTGAACCACCCACTCATCTACCTACTCAACCACACACTCACCCATCTACTCAACCACCCACTCACCCACCTACTCAACCACTCACTCACCCACCTACTCAACCACTCACTCACCCACCAACTGAACCACCCACTCACCCACCTACTCAACCACTCACTCACCCACCTACTCAATCACTCACTCACCCACCTACTCAACCACTCACTCACCCACCTACTCAACCACTCACTTACCCACCTACTCAAACAATCACTCACCCAACTACTCAACCACTCATTCACCCACCTACTCAACCACCCACTCACCCACCTACTCAACCACTCACTCACCCACCGACTCAACCACTCACTCACCCACCTACTCAACCACTCACTTACACACCTACTCAACCACTCACTCACCCACCAACTGAACCACTCACACACCCACCTACTCAACCACTCACTCACCCAACTACTCAACCACTCACTCACCCACCTACTCAACCACTCACTCACCCACCTACTCAACTACTCACTCACCCACCTACTCAACCACTCACTCACCCACCTACTCAACCACTCACTCACCCACCTACTCAACCACTCACTCACCCACCTACTCAACCACTCACTCACCCACCTACTCAACCACCAGCTCACCCACCTACTCAACCACTCACTCACCCACCTACTCAAACACTCACTCATCCACCTACTCAACCACTCACTTACACACCTAGTCAACCACTCACTCACCCACCTACTCAAACACTCACTCACCCACCTACTCAACCACTCACTCATCCACCTACTCAACCACTCACTTACCCACCTACTCAACCACTCACTCACCCACCTACTCAACCACTCACTTACCCACCTACTCAACCACTCACTCACCCACCTACTCAACCACTCACCCACCCACCTACTCAATCACTCATTCACCCACCTACTCAACCACTCACTTACCCACCAACTGAACCACTCACTCACCCACCTACTCAACCACTCACTTACACACCTACTCAACCACTCACTTATCCACCAACTGAACCACAGACTCACCCACCTACTCAACCACTCACTCACCCACCTACTCAACCACTCACTCACCCACCTACTCAACCACTCACTCACCCACCTCAACCACTCACTCACCCACCTACTCAACCACTCAATCACACAACTACTCAACCACTCACTCACCCACCTACTCAAACACCCACTCACCCACCTACTCAACCACTCACTCACCCACCTACTCAACCACCCACTCACCCACCTACTCAACCACTCACTCACCCACCTACTCAACCACTCACTCACCCACCAACTCAACCACTCACTCACCCACCAACTCAACCACTCACTCACCTACCTACTCAACCACTCACTCACCCACCTACTCAACCACTCACTCACCTACCTACTCAATCACCCACTCACCTACCTACTCAACCACTCACTCACCTACCTACTCAACCACTCACTCACCCACCTACTCAACCATTCACTCTCCACCCACTACGCGACAGAACTCGGCAACATAGAGAAGGGCCATCGCCGTACCGTTACCCATTATGTACGTTCACAGCGAATTCGCGAATGTGTTGAATTTGTGTTGTGTTGTTATACTATTAAGGCCCATTGCCCGAAACGTCGCCTGTTACATAGTTTATTTTGAATGCCACAATGTTGTCGACGAACGTGTAGTTATTTATTTATATGCAGCGTGTTGAACCTTCTTGCCAGTTCGTCTTGGGCGGGGTCTCGCGCGCTGTGCAGCTGACGTCACAGGGGGTTCGTGCTCAGGCCGCTGCTGCTGCTGCACTCTGAGCCCCGGGCACCCGAGTTCGACTCCCGCCGCTCACGGCCGGTGGCGATGATCTGAACAGGGTCTTGGGCCTCCCCTAGGTCGACTCAGCATTCAAATGAGTACCTGGTGTCATTTATAAACATCGCCACTGGGGAGACAAAGGCGGCTGGGCGTGGTGCTGGCCACCCTCCCCCTCGTGTGCCGTTCTGGCCTTGATAGGTGCTACTCGCAAACAGCACTTGCCCCAACAGTCTGTTAGGGCTATACGGGGGATCTGTGCCTTTATCTGTCTCTCTACCGCCGCCTGATCTCTTCTTTCCAAAAATAATCGCTGCTCGACACAGACTCTTAAACCGATCAGAGCGCGTGTGTGCGTGCGTGTGTGTATGTACGTGTGTGTGTGTATGTACGTGTGTGTGTGTATGTACGTGTGTGTATGTACGTGCGTGTGTGTACGTGTGTATGTGTGTGTGTATGTGTGTGTATGTACGTGTGTGTATGTACGTGTGTGTATGTACGTGTGTGTATGTACGTGCGTGTGTGTACGTGTGTGTATGTACGTGTGTGTATGTACGTGCGTGTGTGTATGTACGTGCGTGTGTGTACGTGTGTGTATGTATGTACGTGTGTGTATATATGTGTGTGTGTATGGGGAGCGATAGTGTAGCGGTTAGCGCGCTGCGCTACGAACCTGGCGACCCGGGTTCGATTCCCGCTAACGCCCAACACCAGTGCTGGCCACCCCACCCCCTCGTGTGCCGTGACGGCCTTCAGAGGTGCTGCTCGCAAACAGCACGCGCCTCCACATTCTGTTCCGGCTCCACGGGGGAGTCCACGTCGTTGTCTTTGTTGTCTCCTCCACGTCCGCCTCCCTGCAGACACAGACCATGAGCTTCATGGGCCACCTGGCGGGCCAGGTGCTGGTGACGGTGCGCGACCTCTACAAGGGCCTGAACCCTGCGACGCTCACGGGCTGCATCGACGTGATCGTGGTGCGGCGCGCCGACGGATCGCTCGCCTGCTCGCCCTTCCACGTGCGCTTCGGCAAACTCGGCGTGCTCAGCTCCCGTGAGAAAGTGGTGAGCGATGATCGGTTCCAGTGATCGGTTTCAGTAATCGGTCGAGTGATGCGGTGCAATACTCAGACCCCGTAGGCCTCACACATGGACTCCTGAAGGCGGGAAACCCCCGTGGTTTGTAGTGTGGGCAGTTTCAAGGTTGATTTTGCCGATGACATCACCAAACCCCGCACATCACATACCCCCCGCCCTGTCCCCCATGTGCAGGTGGATATTGAGGTGAATGGTTTCCCCGTGGATCTGCAGATGAAGCTGGGGGACAATGGGGAGGCGTTCTTTGTGCTCGAGACAGACGAGGTGAGAGATGAGGGGTGTCGCGGGGCCATGGATGAGCGGGGACGAGGGTTCACCCTCGGGTCACCGCCTGGACGACTCAGTCTGGCCTGGACGAAGTTGATGTGTACCCAGATCTCCCTCAATCACTCAATCATCCACCAACCCACTCATTCCTTCAGCAATGCACTAATTCACCCAACAACTCATTCACTCACCCATTCACCCGCCCACTTATTCCTTCACACACTCATTCACCCACCCACTCATTCACCCACCTACTCACCCATTGGCTTTATTACAGAATTTTGAATGACTTTATAACAATAGACTGAATAATTTTCTTACAATACCTAGGCCGACTGAGAAAGCTGCTCGGGTTTGCTGTGTGGAGGAGGACGCATCCCTCCAGAAACGTTGAATCAACTGGGATATCAACTGGGATATCAACTGTGATATCAGCTGGGGTAGATTCAAGCTCTGAGAATGAAAAACGTCACGTCCATTGTCAGGCGACGAACTTTGCCCGCCGTGGCGGAGCGGCTGGTCAAGTGCTGCCGTCCACTGTGTGTGGTGGACCAGAGGTCACTTAAAGGGGTCTCAGTGGTAGCTCTGTGATATCCACTTCTCCAATACGGGGGGTGGTGGTAGGCAAGCTGCCACTGCCTGATTCCCTGTGGGGTCTCTCAGGGGGTGCCCCCTCCTCATTACCAGCGGCGCAGGGATTAACGAGAAGGATTTAGCGGAGGTGGCTGCCTGTGGATTGGCCGGGTGGCGAGGTGCTGATGACGCCGCGTGTCCGGTGACCAGCGGCTCTGACCGTCACCCGTGGCCAAGGGGTGCCTGGGGAATTACGGGAGCGTGTGCGCGTGTGTGTGTGCGTGTAGGGAGCGGTGCCAACTACTGTGCCAACTTAGTTCGCACATTAGGGGGTACAGGTGGTGCACCGGCCACTCATCTTAGTCAGTCGACCCGTGGCACCTGGGTCTGCCCCGTGACCTCCTGCCAACAGGCGTTCGCATCGCCACCGGGGAGACAAAGGCCGGGCGTGGTCCTGGCCACCCACCCCCTCGTTACTGTGCTGCTCTTCACAGCTGCTCGCTAACAGCGCTTGTCCCTCCAGTCTGTTATATGGGAGGGGGGGGGGGGCGTCGTGGCAGACTCACGTTATGATGGGCGAGTGGCTCACGGTGTGACGGGTGGCTCACGGTGTGACGGGTGGCTCACGGTGTGACGGGTGGCTCACGGTGTGACGGGTGGCTCACGGTGTGACGGGTGGCTCACGGTGTGACGGGTGGCTCACGGTGTGACGGGTGGCTCACGGTGTGACGGGTGGCTCACGGTGTGACGGGTGGCTCATGGTGTGACGGGTGGCTCACGGTGTGACGGGTGGCTCACGGTGTGACGGGTGGCTCACGGTGTGACGGGTGGCTCACGGTGTGCGCTTGCAGGGGGAGCTTCCTTCCCACCTCTCCACGTCTCCCATCCCCATGGGCGGAGCCGGCCCACTGAGCCAGCAGCACGCCACCCCGCCCCCCTCCACCACCCCCCCAGGACCACAGGTAGCCCCCACACACCTGGTGGAGTGCATGGTGGGTGTAGTGCGTGGTGCATTGTGGGTGGAGTGTGATGTGCATTGTGGGTGGCGTGTAGTGCATTGTTGGTGGAGAGTGCAGACTCGAGAGTGCTACACTGGGTTTGGCAAGTATAGTGTTGCATTGTGGGTGTGCGGTTAGCAGGGCGATCTGTCCAATGCCGCGGGTAGCACGGTCGCTATGGAGATGCTCAAGCGGCAGAGGATGAGGAGGAGGGAGGACGAGGTGGGGGGAGGAGACTCCACGGACGAAGAGGACGAGGATGATGATGACGGGGAGGGGGGGCGCGGACGAGGGGGCGACGGGGGAGGCATGTTCAACTTGGAACTCAGCCCCGACGAGGAGGAGAAGGTGGAAGAGCGTGAGCCTGAAGACTCCTCGTCGGCGAGGAAGAGGAAGGAGAGAAGGAAGAGGGGGTGAGCACTCGCGTCGATCTGTGAACGGTATTGTGCGGAGGGGAGGGGCGGCTCCGTCGTTAGCACGCCGCACAATGACGCCCAGTGGCCTGCGTTCGATTCCTGCAGGGCGCTGCGAGGTTTCTTCCTGGCCTCTGGACCCCGTGAAAAGACGGCCGATGGACAATTGGGATAACGTTTGGAAAAAAAGACAAAATAAATAAATGACATTGTGCAGGCTCCTTTAGCGGACTTGCTAGGCAGCTTGTACCGACGAGTCTTTGTGGTTGTTAGAGCCGCCCTCTTTACACGCGACGAGCGATTTGCATTGTCACATCTCATTTCAACGCATTATCAAGGGGCACCCCCAGTGACAGCTATCCTTGTGGGGCACAAAGCTAACTCAGCACCTGGCCTGTAAAAAAAAACTCGCATTAATTAATGCTGTGTATAATCCCAGTAGAGCTATGTGGATGGTTGTATTGTGGTTGTATTGTGGTTTTGGTTGTAGGTTTGTGCCGAGTCAGGGGGAGCACCGTGTGAGAGCCCCCACCTTCATCGCGAGCCAGAAGACGGTGTCAGACGGAGAGTGGAGTCCCACGCCGAGGTACGGGCAGAGACACGGGACACAGAGGTGCGGGGATGCGGAGACACGGGGATGTGGGGACGTGGGGACGCGGGGACAGGGAGACGAGTTGCTGTTGTTGTTGTTGTGTCCTCTGTGCGCCCAGTCCCTCGTGCAGCCCCAAGAGCGACTCGGAGCTGAGCGTCCACCCCACAGGCGAGCGGCGCATGTCGGCCATGGAGCAGCACATGCAGTGGGCCTGGGGTGGCTTCCCCAGGGCGGCGCTGGTAAACGGGGGGGTGGGACTTAGCCTCCCCTCCTCCCACCCTCTTCCTATCCCCCCACCGCACACTCAGCTCCTCCTCCTCCACCTCCCTCCTCTCACCTCCCCACGTGCACCGTGAGCTGAGCCACCGCTATAAATCGATGAATCGACGATGCATCGTCACCAGCGGGGATCGTAAAGGTGGCGGGGGAGGGGGTGGGGTTATTGCCCCCTCCCTTGGGACCCCGAAAATTCGGCGCTATATTGATGACTTTATTTAAATGTTTTTAAATTCACGGCTGTGTATATATTCATCTTTTTTGGGACCCCCCCCCCCTTCTCTCCACTCTCTCCCGTCCCTCCCTGCTCCACCTCGACAGCAGAACCGGCCCTCGGTGAATGGGAAGCAGCGAAAGGCAGAGAGGTCCAGATTTCAATCCCGCAGAGGAGCTCAGTGCTCCTGGGCGACCATGGAATCATCATCAGCAGCAGCAGGATCATCAGTAGCAGTTTCAGCACAAGCAAATGGAACAATATCAGCAGGGCCAAAAACACTTGAATCAGCGGCTCGAATTAAAACATCATCATTATCAAAAACAAAAACAACAGTAGAAACATCATCAGCAGCAACAGGTTCATTATCATCAACAGCAGCAACCACCACCACAGCAAGACAAGCAAAAGGAACAGCAGCAGTAGCAGCACCATCACCGTCAGCATCACCAGCAGCAGAATCTGCAGCTGCACCAATAGTATTGGAAGCTTCAGTGAAATCATCATCAGCAGCAGCAGCATCAGCAGATCAGACGGGCGACTCACCGGGCGACCCGCTGGGTGACTCATTGGGTGACTCATTGGGTGGCTCATTGGGTGACTCATTGGGTGACTCATTTGGTGACAAGCCGGGTGACTCATTGGGTGACTCATTGGGTGACTCATTGGGTGACTCATTGGGTGACTCACCGAGCAACCCACTGGGTGACTCATTGGGTGACTCATTGGGTGACAAGCCGGGTGACTCATTGGGTGACTCATTGGGTGACTCACGGGGCGACCCGCCGGGCGACGTGCCAGTGGAGTCGCCGGGCGACGTGCCGGTGATCATGATCGAGCGAGCCCAGACTGCTGCTGCTGCCACCAGCAGGGTCCGGCAAATGCCGGCCCCCCAGAGCTCCGAAGGGACCCAGAGCCCCTACGGTGCGGCGGGTGGGACCCCCAGGGCCCCCCTCGTGTCATGGGACTCGGTGTACGAGGATGCGGTGGAGGTGGGGGATGCTGCCGGTGTTGCGATGGGCAGTGGGAGAGGTGAGTGTGCAGTGCACTACGATGAGTGGGTGGGTGGGTGAGCGGGTGAGAGATTTTGTGTTGAGTGAGAGCGTGAGCGAGTGGGTGAGTTCGTGTGCAGAGCACTAAGTTAAGTGAGCGAATGAGTGGGTGAGAGAAATGTGGGGAGCAGTAGTATAGTGGTTAGTGCACTGCGCTACGAACCCTGCGACCCGAGTTTGATTCCCACTGACGGCCAACACCAGTGACTATTATCTGAACGGGTCCATGGCCTCCCGTAGGTCGACTCAGCCTATAATGAGTGTGCGAACATCGCCACCGGGGAGTCAAAGGCGGTCGGGCGTGGTGCCGGCCACCCACCCCGTCGTGTGCCATGCCGGCCTTCACAGCTGCCGCTCCTCGCCAACAGCCTGCTGAAGGCTATACGGGGGATCTTTGTCTGTGTGCCACTGTAGAGAAGCACGCGGCGGATGAGGCTTGGGGTCAGCCGAGCGTCTCAGGGGAGGCGCCCCCCTCAATCGTCGTTGCCGGCGGTGACGACGGCGTCACGCGTTCCATGACGAGGTGAGCCGCCGCCGTCATCCGGGACGGAGGAGCGAGAAAGGGGCGGGGGGGGGGGGCTCGTTGGGGGGGGGGGGGCAGGTGAATCTTTACGTGGTTTGTGAAATACGACTCCCCCCCCACCCCTCTCTTCTCCCCCCGCTCGAGCTGCAGGCCGGCGAGCTTGCCCCTGGCGGACCCCCCGCGGCCCCCCCATGGGGGCAGCCCCCCCGACGGCGCGGACTGCCCGTGGGACTCCCTCCTGGGCCCCCCCGGGGGGCCCCGCATCGCGCTGTCGCTGTGCGGGGGGCTGGGCGACACGGGGCAGCTCACGGAAGGTGCTGGGCCCCCGGGAGTAGTGCTAGTGCCTTACGCCGGTGTTAGACGCGACCACCGCGCTGCCCACCTTCGCCGACCGGTACCGACCACTGCGGTGAAGTATGGTCAAATGACCCTCACGACCCGCTTCTGGGCGCCATCCAGCAGTGGACGAACACGAGGCCTATGCCAGCGATGACGCACGACATTTAACCGATTGCGTAACAGATTAATGAATGCAGATGATGTGGATGTGCAGATAATGCATCTCCTTCACGTGTCTGTCTCTCCACACGTAGAAAATTAAAGGTACGGGCATTTACGTAATAATTTATATACCCCATAATGATGCTAGAGATGATGGAGTGTTGTGTATTGTAGAGAGTGTTGCGTTGAACTCAGGCCCATATCTAACAGTGAGAGGGGACATTGCCCATAAACGTCTGGCAGTTCACCGGCATTGATCCAAGCGACCTTGACACTGCTGATGAGACGCTGAATTCCGAGTACGGCAGTAAATGAATGCGACTCGTGTTTCCGTCGGATTCACACGCCGCCTGAGTGATTGACAGTTGACCGTACTTCTGTGCGCCCTCCTCCCGGCCTGGCGGCCCGCAGAGCGGTTCCGCGAGCGCCGCGTCGCCTTCCTGGATCTGTGCGAGAACCCGGAGCTGCTCAGCGACCCGCAGCTCGTGGTGAAGATCGGCAACAGGTGAAGACGCGGCCACGGCACGGCCACGCCACGGCCACCGTGTGGCCACGGCACGGCCACGGGTGGGCGGCCTGGGTAGGGGCTGGCAGCAGGGCGTCTCCTTCACCTCCCAGGCGCCGTTCAGGGCCCCCTGGCGCCAGGCGAGGGCCCCGCGTGCCGGTGTCCCAGTCCACATTCACCAACTTAGACTCACCATGACCATATCGTCATCATCGTCGTCACCGTCATCACCATCCTCGTCATCACCATCGTCATCATCGCCACCAAACATTATCACCATCATCACCATCGTCGTCGTCACCATCACCATCAGCACCATCAGCAGCAGCTCCATTGCCCCCTACCAGCCCTGGTCACAGTCGCACGCGAGACTCGACCCTGGCCACGCGAGTCCCCGGCTGGTCACACGCGAGTCCCCGGCTGGTCACACGCGAGTCCCCGGCTGGTCACACGCGAGTCCCCGGCTGGTCACACGCGAGTCCCCGGCTGGTCACACGCGAGTCCCCGGCTGGTCACACGCGAGTCCCCGGCTGGTCACACGCGAGTCCCCGGCTGGTCACACGCGAGTCCCCGGCTGGTCACACGCGAGTCCCCGGCTGGTCACACGCGAGTCCCCGGCTGGTCACACGCGAGTCCCCGGCTGGTCACACGCGAGTCCGAGCCGCTGAGTTCTGTGGACCACAGCAGTGGGCAGCCTCACCCAGCGCCACAGCGAGCCGAGCTAAACCACTCGGCTTGTGCACATTGCACAGAGACATTTCTTCTATTCTCATTCACACAGACTTAGATAGCAGCGCCCTATCTCAAGGCGCTTTACAATGATTATAAAACTGTACACAAGATGCCAGTGGTTGAGCTACAGAGTGGGGTGGTTATTAAAAGTGGTGATGGTGCGGTTGGTGGTGACAGGAGAACAGCTTTTGAGTGGTTAAGGAGGGGTAGGGGTTGGGGTCGTGCTAAGAATAGTGAATGGGGTTGGGGTAGTGATAGGGGTTGGGGTAGTGATAGGGATAGTGGTAGGGGTTGGGGTAGTGATAGGGGTTGGGGTAGTGATAGGGGTAGTGGTAGGGGTTGGGGTAGTGATAGGGATAGTGATAGTGGTTGGGGTAGTCATAGCGGTTGGGATAGTGATAGGGATAGTGGTAGGGGTTGGGGTAGTGATAGGGGTTGGGTAGTGATAAGGATAGTGGTTGGGGTAGTGGTAGGGGTTGGGGTAGTGATAGGGGTTGGGGTAGTGATCGCGATCGTGGTAGGGGTTGGGGTAGTGATAGGGGTTGGAGTAGTGATAGGGATAGTGGTAGGGGTAGTGATAGGGGTTGGGGTAGTGATAGGGATAGTGGTAGGGGCTGGGGTAGTGATAGGGGTTGGGGTAGTGATAGGGATAGTGGTAGGGGTTGGGGTATCTGATAGGGGTTGGGGTAGTGATAGGGATAGTGGTAGGGGTTGGGGTAGTGATAGGGTAGTGATAGTGGTAGGGGTTGGGGTAGTGATATGAAAGGGGTTGGGTAGTGATAGGGATAGTGGTAGAGGTTGGGGTAGTGATAGGGGTAGTGATAGGGGTTGGGGTAGTATACGGGAGTGGTAGGGGTTGGGGTAATGATAGGGATAGTGGTAGGGGTATCTGAAAGGGGTTGGGGTAGTGATAGGGATAGTGGTAGGGTTGGGGTAGTGATAGGGGTAGTGGTAGGGGTTGGGGTAGTGATAGGGGTAGTGATAATGGTAGGGGTTGGGTAGTGATAGGGTGTAGGGTAGGGGTTGGGGTAATGATAGGGATAGTGGTAGGGGTTGGGGTATCTGAAAGGGGTTGGGTAGTGATAGGGATAGTGGTAGGGGTTGGGGTAGTGATACGGTAGTGATAGTGGTAGGGGTTTGGGTAGTGATAGGGTAGTGGTAGGGGTTGGGTGTGATAGGGATAGTGGTAGGGGTTGGGGTAGTGATAGGGGTAGTGATAGTGGTAGGGGTTGGGGTAGTGATAGGGGTTGGGGTATGTGAGGGTAGTGATAGTGGTAGGGGTTGGGTAGTGATAGGGGTTAGAGTAGTGATAGGGATAGTGGTAGGGGTTGGGGTAGTGATAGGGGTTGGGGTAGTGATAGGGATAGTGGTAGGGGTTGGGGTATCTGAAAGGGGTTGGGGTAGTGATAGGGATAGTGGTAGAGGTTGGGGTAGTGATAGGGGTAGTGATAGTGGTAGGGGTTGGGGTAGTGATACGGGTAGTGGTAGGGGTTGGGGTAATGATAGGGATAGTGGTAGGGGTTGGGGTATCTGAAAGGGGTTGGGGTAGTGATAGTGGTAGGGGTTGGGGTAGTGATAGGGGTAGTGGTAGGGGTTGGGGTAGTGATAGGGGTAGTGATAGTGGTAGGGGTTGGGGTAGTGATAGGGGTAGTGGTAGGGGTTGGGGTAATGATAGGGATAGTGGTAGGGGTTGGGGTATCTGAAAGGGGTTGGGGTAGTGATAGGGATAGTGGTAGGGGTTGGGGTAGTGATACGGGTAGTGATAGTGGTAGGGGTTTGGGTAGTGATAGGGGTTGGGGTAGTGATAGGGATAGTGGTAGGGGTTGGGGTAGTGATAGGGGTAGTGATAGTGGTAGGGGTTGGGGTAGTGATAGGGGTAGTGGTAGGCGTTGGGGTAGTGATAGGGGTAGTGATAGTGGTAGGGGTTGGGGTAGTGATAGGGGTAGTGGTAGGGATTGGGGTAGTGATAGTGGTAGGGGTTGGGGTAGTGATAGGCCTAGTCGTCGCTGTGGAGTGTGGCAGTGAGTAGCAGTAGCAGCAGGATGGGATAGGGAGACGAGATGGGGGTTGTTTTCAGGGAGGAAAGGAAGCTGGTTAAAAAGGTCTCCGTGATGTAGCTAATCACCCCGAGCTACGAATGTTCTGACACGCGTGGCATTGTCTCTGTACTGTTCGCCTTTTGGCATGTTCTGGTCTATCACTGGAGAGACAAAGCCATAAAGTAGCTTGCTGCCTCTGGTGTAGGCCAATCAGTGTCAAAGACAACGCATATATTATAATCAGAGCATGTGTGGTCACATGTTCACCACAAGTACACGTGGTCAATGCAGACTTGATTCCTTGCAAAAGGTATCTATTTGGTGTTTTTTTTACATCCTAACACCCGTTTTATTGCCAGAAAGGGTCAACCCTGTTATTATTTTTCATACTGTTATATCACCTCCAGTTTCCTCCAACGCATATGCACACTCATGTATTGTCCGAACACCTTCATATATGGAGGTAAAAAAATACTTTCAAATTATTAAGCTATGCGTACATAAAGGACTGCAGAGCTTGGGCAATTGTTGGTAGCGCCGGCTCCTCACTGCTGGCCACACGTTCAGTTCTATTGAGATGGTGGTCTGGACAAGGCTATGTGAGCCACCATGACTGTGTGAGTAGGATTGGGTGTGTGAGTGGGGATCGCTATTGTAGCGGTTAGTTTGCTGCACTGCGAATCCAGCTACCCAAGTTCGATTCCTGCTCATGGCTGACACCAGTGACGATGATCTAAACCGGTCCTGGTCCTCCCCTAGGTCGACTCAGTCTCAAATGAGTACCTGGTGTGGTGTGTAAACATTGGGGAGACAAAGGCGGCCAGGCGTGGTGTTGGCTACCCATCCCCTCGTGTGTTGTGCCAACCTTCATAGGTGCTCGCTAACAGCACTTGCCCCAAATTTGTGAAGGCTATACGGGGGATCTTTGTCTTATTGTGTGTCTGTGTGTTGGTGTGTGTCTGTGTGTTGGTGTGTGTCTGTGTGTTGGTGTGTGTTTGTGTGTTGGTGTGTGTCTGTGTGTTGGTGTGTGTCTGTGTGTTGGTGTGTGTTTGTGTGTTGGTGTGTGTCTGTGTGTTGGTGTGTGTCTGTGTGCTGGTGTGTGTCTGTGTGTTGGTGATCACCACAGCTATTACAGCTGGGCAGTGGCGGCTCCCATCCTGCTCTCCGTTCACGCCTTCGGGAGGCAGCTGCCACAGGTGTGAACGGGGAGACACACACACACACAGGTACTCATTTCGGGCTGAGTCGACCTCGGGGAGGCACAGGACCGGTTAAAATACACAGGTAGCCAGCGGCACACCCTGCTGCCATTGTCTTCCCAGCGCTGATGTTACACACATTGCAACAGGTACTCATTTAAGGCTGAGTCGACCTAGGGTCCACACGGGGGACCTTTGTCTGTGTAGGCGTGCGTGGACCGCCTGGTGAGGGAGAAGATGTCCCGCTCGTCATATCGCTGGTGGTTCTCATGGGGACGCCGTGACAACACAGCGCTGGTACCACTCACCCCTCACTCACCTCTCACTCACCTCCAACTCACCCCTCACTCACCTCTCACTCACCTCCCACTCACCTCTCACTCACCACTCACTCACCTCTCGCTCACCTCCCACTCACCCCTCACTCACCTCTCACTCACCCCTCACTCACCTCTCACTCACCTCTCACTCACCTCTCACTCACCTCTCACTCACCTCTCACTCACCCCTCACTCACCTCCCACTCACCTCTCGCTCACCACTCACTCACCTCTTGTTCACCTCCCACTCACCTCTCGCTCACCTCCCACTCACCTCTCACTCACCTCCCACTCACCTCTCGCTCACCCCTCACTCACCTCTCGCTCACCTCCCACTCACCTCTCGCTCACCACTCACTCACCTCTTGTTCACCTCCCACTCACCTCTCGCTCACCTCCCACTCACCTCTCGCTCACCTCCCACTCACCTCTCGCTCACCTCCCACTCACCTCTCGCTCACCTCCCACTCACCTCTCACTCACCCCTCACTCACCTCCCACTCACCTCTCGCTCACCTCCCACTCACCTCTCGCTCACCTCCCACTCACCTCTCGCTCACCTCTCACTCACCTCTCACTCACCTCTCGCTCACCTCCCACTCACCTCTCGCTCACCTCCCACTCACCTCCCACTCACCTCTCACTCACCTCTCGCTCACCTCTCACTCACCTCCCACTCACCTCTCGCTCACCTCTCACTCACCTCTTGCTCACCTCCCACTCACCTCTCGCTCACCTCTCACTCACCTCTCACTCACCTCTCGCTCACCTCCCACTCACCTCTCACTCACCTCTTGCTCACCTCCCACTCACCGCTCGCTCACCTCTCGCTCACCTCTCACTCACCTCTCGCTCACCTCTCACTCACCTCTCGCTCACCTCTCACTCACCTCTCGCTCACCTCCCACTCACCTCTCGCTCACCTCTCACTCACCTCTCACTCACCTCTCACTCACCTCTCGCTCACCTCTCACTCACCTCTCGCTCACCTCTCACTCACCTCTCGCTCACCTCTCACTCACCTCTCACTCACCTCTCACTCACCCCTCACTCACCTCCCACTCACCTCTCGCTCACCACTCACTCACCTCTTGTTCACCTCCCACTCACCTCTCGCTCACCTCCCACTTACCTCTCACTCACCTCCCACTCACCTCTCGCTCACCTCCCACTCACCTCTCGCTCACCTCCCACTCACCTCTCGCTCACCTCTCACTCACCTCTCACTCACCTCTCGCTCACCTCCCACTCACCTCTCGCTCACCTCCCACTCACCTCCCACTCACCTCTCACTCACCTCTCGCTCACCTCTCACTCACCTCCCACTCACCTCTCGCTCACCTCTCACTCACCTCTTGCTCACCTCCCACTCACCTCTCGCTCACCTCTCACTCACCTCTCACTCACCTCTCGCTCACCTCCCACTCACCTCTCACTCACCTCTTGCTCACCTCCCACTCACCTCTCGCTCACCTCTCGCTCACCTCTCACTCACCTCTCGCTCACCTCTCACTCACCTCTCGCTCACCTCTCACTCACCTCTCGCTCACCTCCCACTCACCTCTCGCTCACCTCTCACTCACCTCTCACTCACCTCTCACTCACCTCTCGCTCACCTCTCACTCACCTCTCGCTCACCTCTCACTCACCTCTCGCTCACCTCCTCACTCACCTCTCGCTCACCTCTCACTCACCTCTCACTCACCTCTCGCTCACCTCTCACTCACCTCCCACTCACCTCTCGCTCACCTCTCTCTCACCTCTCTCACCTCTCGCTCACCTCCCACTCACCTCTCACTCACCTCTTGCTCACCTCCCACTCACCTCTCGCTCACCTCTCGCTCACCTCTCACTCACCTCTCGCTCACCTCTCCTCACCTCTCGCTCACCTCTCACTCACCTCTCGCTCACCTCCCACTCACCTCTCACTCACCCCTCACTCACCTCTCGCTCACCTCTCACTCACCTCTCACTCACCTCTCGCTCACCTCCCACTCACCTCTCACTCACCTCTCGCTCACCTCCCACTCACCTCTCACTCACCCCTCACTCACCTCTCGCTCACCTCTCACTCACCTCTCACTCACCTCTCGCTCACCTCCCACTCACCTCTCACTCACCTCTCGCTCACCTCTCACTCACCCCTCTCGCTCACCTCCACTCACCTCTCGCTCACCTCCCACTCACCTCTCACTCACCTCTCGCTCACCTCTACTCCACTCTCCCTCCTCACTCACCTCTCCACTCACCTCTCACTCACCTCTCGCTCACCTCTCACTCACCTCTCACTCACCTCTCGCTCACCTCTCACTCCCCTCTCGCTCACCTCCCACTCACCTCTCGCTTACCTCCCACTCACCTCTCACTCACCTCTCGCTCACCTCTCACTCACCTCTCGCTCACCTCCCACTCCCCTCTCGCTCACCTCCCACTCACCTCGCGCTCACCTCTCACTCACCTCTCACTCACCTCTCGCTCACCTCCCACTCCCCTCTCGCTCACCTCCCACTCACCTCGCGCTCACCTCTCACTCACCTCTCACTCACCTCGCGCTCACCTCTCACTCACCTCTCACTCACCTCTCACTCACCTCTCGCTCACCTCCCACTCCCCTCTCGCTCACCTCCCACTCACCTCGCGCTCACCTCCCACTCACCTCTCACTCACCTCTCGCTCACCTCTCACTCCCCTCTCGCTCACCTCCCACTCACCTCTCGCTTACCTCCCACTCACCTCTCACTCACCTCTCGCTCACCTCTCACTCACCTCTCGCTCACCTCCCACTCCCCTCTCGCTCACCTCCCACTCACCTCGCGCTCACCTCTCACTCACCTCTCACTCACCTCTCACTCACCTCGCGCTCACCTCTCGCTCACCTCCCACTCCCCTCTCGCTCACCTCCCACTCACCTCGCGCTCACCTCTCACTCACCTCTCACTCACCTCGCGCTCACCTCTCACTCACCTCTCGCTCACCTCTCACTCACCTCCCACTCACCTCTCGCTCACCTCTCACTCACCTCTCGCTCACCTCCCACTCCCCTCTCGCTCACCTCCCACTCACCTCGCGCTCACCTCTCACTCACCTCTCACTCACCTCTCGCTCACCTCTCACTCACCTCTCGCTCACCTCCCACTCACCTCTTTCTCACCTCCCACTCAACTCTCGCTCACCTCTCGCTCACCTCTCGCTCACCTCCCACTCACCTCTCGCTCACTTGTCATTCACCTCCCACACTTCTCAGTGCCACTCACACCTGCAGCTCTTGCGACTCACCTGTGACCCTCCCCCGTGACCCCCCCCCCCTTCCCACCGTGCCGTCAGGACTCACCGGGGAGGGGCGAAGTGTCGAGCACCCCCAATGGCACCGAGTCAACCTCCAGCACCAGCGCAGCCTCCCCCATACACAGGTGACCCCTCGCTCCCCCCACCACCACCCCCTCCACCCCCACCCCCCTCCACCCCCCTTCACCCCTCCTCCACCCCCCGTCCACCCCCACCCCGCCTCCTCCCCCACCCCCCCTCCACCCCCACCCCCCTCCACACGCGGACTGAGAGGCGGTCAGCACGTGACGTCATCAACCCCTCTGACCCGGGCCCCCCACTCGTCTTGCCCTGGCTCACAGCGCCTCCCACGAGGATTCCCCGCTGGAGGTGAAGGGACCCCCACAAATGCCGACGCTGAAACCGCCCCCCACCTCCCCGCTGGACACGCGCCCCCCCGCGCCGACGTTCCGCAAGACGCTGCGTCTCTCCTCGCAGCAGCTCGTGAGTGCTCGTGGGGGGGGGGGGGGGTACGAGGGGATTGGGGGGCAGCCCAAAGCTGCTGGCCTTGTAGAGGGGCTGTAGTCGAGGGGGTCGTGTTGCACCTCCGATTAGCAAAGTTGGCCACGTACGGTGTGAAAGAAGCTCTGCATAGACACATACACGTCAGCGCTCCCTTCATTGTTACGCTTTATGCGTGAAACTCTCCCCGAGTCTCAAGAAGCCTCCTCAGGAGGGTCCTGCCGAGTATTCTCACTGGGAGGAGCGATGGTGTCGCTTCTGCTGCTGCTGCTGCTGCTACTGTGTGATCACAGTGGAGCGACGTGCAGGTGATTGTTTCAGCATGAGGGATGTTTGTTTTTTCCCAACGGCAGTTCCGCTGTGGGTGTGGGTTTAGCTATGGGAGGAGAACCCGGAGGAAACCCATGCAGAGCAGGAGGAGAGCAAACAAACTCCACTCACACTCGCGCAGTCACACTCTCCCACTCGTTCACTTGCAGAATAGAGGGACATCACCAGCGTGCCTGTGCCAGCCTAGGTGTACCTTGCACACAAAGATCCCCAGAAAAGCCCGAACAGACTTTTGGGGCAAGTGCTGTTAGCAAGTAGCTTCTCTCAAGGCTGGAGCGGCACACGAGGGGGTGGGTGGCCAGCACCACGCCCGGCAGCAGGTTCTAATTTGAGGCCGAGTCCACCTAGGGGTGGCCCGGCATTAACCGTGAGCGGGAATCGAACCCGTCCTCCGCGAGCGCGCAGGCCAGCCTGGGGCTGCGGCCGGGCATCAACGAGGTGCGTTTCAGCGTGACCACGCCGTTCCAGGGGACGACCCAGTGCCAGGGCACGCTCCACCTGTGGGACTGGGACTCACGTGTCATCATCTCCGACATCGACGGCACCATCACCAAGTGAGGGCAGCGCGCCGTCGCTCCGTCGAGCCATCGCATCATCGCTTTATTGCATCATCGCTCCATCGCATCGTTGCTCCATTTCGCCATCACATCATCGCTGCATTACATCATCGCTTTATTGCATCATCGCTCCATAACATCATCACTATATCACGTAATCGCACCGTCACATCCTCGCTTCATCACACCATCACCCCATCGTCACATCAACGCTCCATGGCAGCATCTCCCATGAGCTCACCGTGCTGTCTAAATCCGTGCTGCCAGGTCGGATGTTCTCGGCCAGATCTTGCCAAAGCTGGGCAAGGACTGGACGCATGAGGGCATAGCTCGCCTCTTCCACCGCATCCACCAGTGAGTCGACCCTTGCGTGTGTCCATGTATCCGTGTGTATTTGCGTGTCCCTGTGTGTCCGTGTGATCGTGCGCCTGTCTAACGCATGCATCTTCGGAGCGGTAGTGTAGCGGTTAGCGCACTGCGCTATGAACCCGGCGTCCCGAGATCGATTCCTGCTGACGGCCAACAGCAGTGACAATTATCTGCACCGGTGATGGACCTCCCCTAGGTCGCATCAGCCTCAAACGAGAACCTGGTAGGATCTGTGAACATTGCCACTGTGGAGACAAAGGCAGGCGTGGTGCTAGTAGCCAACCCCCTCGTGTGCTGTGTCGATCTTCATACGTATGCATGTTGAACTTCTTTCGCACCGTACATAGTCAAACCGCGCTAATCGAATGTGCGGGGAAGGACAACAAACTAAGCACAAAAAGCAATTCTCGCTAACATCACTTGCCCCAACAGTCTGTTGAGGCTATCCGGGGGATCTTTGTCTTTGTAGGAACGGATACAAGTTCCTGTACTGCTCAGCGCGTGCGATCGGCATGGCACACACGACACGCGGCTACCTGCAGGGCGTGAGCGAGCAGGGCGCCATGCTGCCACGCGGACCCCTGCTGCTCTCGCCCAGCAGCCTCTTCGCTGTCCTGCACAGGTGAGGCACAGGTGAGGCACAGGTGAGGCACAGGTGAGGCACAGGTGAGGCACAGGTAAGGCACAGTAGCAAGTAACAATTCGACGCGTCACACAGAGTGCTCTAATTACTCGCCTTGCGTGGCCATCACAGGGTGCATCAGTCTGTGCTCACGAACGTGTCTGTCTAATGAACGTGTGTCAGTGCATGTGTGTCTGTGTCCGTGTCCGTGTGTGTGTGTGTGAGAGAACTACTGAGCACTTGTTTTTCCTACTGCCCCCCCCACCCGATGTGCCCAGGGAGGTTATCGAGAAGAAGCCGGAGCGGTTCAAGATCGAGTGTCTGCGTGACATCGGCCGCCTCTTCCACCCCACCCCGGAGCCCTTCTACGCCGCGTTCGGCAACAGGGCCAACGTGAGGAGCGGCCAGCAACAAACGGCACCGTCACAGTTGGAACGCACGAGAGTTAACACGCGCCACCGTCTGTAAGAATATTCGCGGGCAGCGGTTAGCAGTCCGCTGAGCCATGAGCTGACCTCGATTCCCGCTCGCGGCCCACACCAGCGGCCACTACGTGAACCGGTCCCGAGCCTCACTTAAGGTCGACTCAGCCATAAATGAGTACCTGGTGCAGTGAGCGTGAACATGAGCAATGGGGAGACAAAGGCGGCCGTGCGTGGCGCTGGCCACCCTCCCCATCGTGCGCCGTGCCGGCCTTCATAGGCGCTCGGGAACAGCGCTTGTTGAAGCAGTGCGCGGAGGCTACGCGGGGGACCTTTGTCTGTGTGACTGTGCGCAGGACGTGTTGGCCTACAGGGAGGTGGGGGTGGCTGAGCCGAGGATCTTCACGGTGAACCCCCGCGGGGAGCTGGTGCAGGAGCACGCACGCACAGACAAGTCTTCGTGCGTGCCCCTCCCCGCTTCGTGTGCCTCCCCACTGCCTCCTCCCCTCCCCACTCACCCCCAACCTCCCTTCATCCCTCCTCCCCTCCCTCCCTCCTCCCCCCCAACCTCCCCTCACTCCCACCCTCCTCCCCCCCCAACCTCCCCTCCCCCCCTCCCCCCTCCCTCTTCCCCTCCCTCCTCCGCTCCCTCGATCCCTATCCTCTGAGTTCAATTCCAGCTCACGGCCAACATAGTTGATGATTGTCTGAACTAGTCCTAAGTATAAGCATCAACACTGGGGAGACAAAGGCGGCCGGGCAGACGTGGCAGTTGCCACCCGGACCCTTCGTAGGCCACGCAGCCGTCTCAGGTGTTACTCCCTATAGCACTTGCCCCAAGAGCCTGCGTGACCTACACGGGGGACCTTTGTCTGTGCGTGCACATGGCAGGTACGGGAAGCTGCATGACGTGGTGGACCACGTGTTCCCACGGCTGCCGACGGGGAGGGGAGGCGGAGCGGGGGAGGGGCCCCCCAGCACAGCCTCCTGAGCGACCCGGAGACTCCCGAAGGCCCCCACCTCGGCCTGCTCCCTGCACCTCCTCACGCCTCTGCCCTGCTTTCCTCGATCCTCCACGGCCTCGCGTCACCGACACGCACGACCTCCCTCCCTACTTCCCACCTCCTCATCCTCCCTCCACCCACCAGCTCATCCACCACCTCCTCTACTGCCCACCTCCTCATCCGCCCTACACACACCACCTGTAACTCCTCGCACCTCCTCCCACCTCTACCATCACTGCTCAATTGTCTACATCCTCACATCGCCTCCACCCTCCACCTCATCCTTAACCTCCTGCCCACCTCCACCCACCACCACCTCATCCTTAACCTCCTGCCCACCTCCACCCACCACCACCTCATCCTTAACCTCCTGCCCACCTCCACCCACCACCACCTCATCCTTAACCTCCTGCCCACCTCCACCCACCACCACCTCATCCTTCCTCCACCCACCTGCACCTCGCACTACCGCCCCCTCGAATCTCCCACCACCATGCTCTCTCGCTCTCACCTCTACGCCCTGGTTTATTCTGATGTATTTATCGACCCCGAGAGAGAGAGATATTTATAGGCGATGAAAGCGCTTTTGAAACCTTGCCGTGTCACGCTTCACGTCAATGTCTCAAAGCTACGATGATGTCAGCGCTGAGTCAGGAGTTGAAGTGATTCAGAAGCACAGGCACCAGGAGTGTGTTTCCCAGCGAGTACAGCCCTAGATTTAATAAGCTCTTTATCAAGGGCTACTCGGTCGACATCATCTCACAATTACAGATTTGAAAAACACAAACTTACGAATAGCAATTATGCTGTAAAATTACATTCAGACTAAAACGTTGGTCATTTTAATAACAGAGTCAGTTTCAGATCAGTTTATTTTTAAGTACCCTGTGAGCCAAGACGCTCTTAAATCGGGTTTCATCATCATCATAATTGTCAACAACAACAAAAACAATGCCGCTTCTCTGACAAACGCAGCAAATCACAGTCAAATAAATCGATGATAACAATAACAGATGAGAGAAATAAAAAAATACTGAGCAAATCATGATTGCAATATTACAATTATCATTTAAAAAATTAAATGAGCTCATATATAGGTTTCAGTTTACAGTTTTATGTATGAGGAGGTATAACCCTGTGAGCCATGCGGCTCTTGACTCGGGTGCAACCGCAACAAACAAAAACATGAACAAGAAACATCTCAAAGTGACTACACGCAACAGAAAAATCCAGGAAAAAACAGCAAAGTCTTCCAGAAAAAACACCGTATATCAACGCTGTGTGCAAAAATCCCAGTGGATGCAAGTCAAACAATAACCACCATAAGACAATTTAGATTAAAGTTATCAGGCTAACTCTGTACTACGACAAACAAAAATGGCAAAACCAAAAGTTTTCAAAATCACCAAAATAAAGCTATCAAAACAATGTAACAGTGATCATAGAAACTGATTCAAATTTAACAATAAACGATATACATATTATGTACGACCAAACTTTGCAGCCATAGCTGGCTGCATGAGTTCACTCCAAACAGCAGGAGTATCAGTAGCAGTGTCAACATTTTTCAATGCACCTTTAAAGATCAGCACACTATAATCAAAACTCAAGATCATACTTTGCAGCAGTCATCCGGAACGATACATTTGATTTCAGGCCATTCGGAATAGCAGTGGCAGCTAGGGGTGTACAACTCCTCTAGAGAATCTTCTTTGGTTCTTTCGGTAAAGTCACGTAGAATGAGAATAAAATAATAAATTGATAAAATAAAATAACACAATAATATTCTCACGAAACGTCGTGAGAATATTATTGTGTTAATAACAATAATATTCTCACGAAACGTCGTGAGAATATTATTGTGTTATTTTATTTTATCAATTTATTATTTTATTCTCATTCTACGTTACTTTACCGAAAGAACCAAAGAAGATGAATCATTGCAGTCACGAAAGCTTTAAATCGAAATTTCCTCTAGAGAAGTTTTGAGTGAAGATCGCACAGGTAGTGATCCAAGTTGCAGTTTATTGGCGATAGCATTCCAGACCCTGGGGGCATCAATAGAAGGTTATCCATCAACTAGGTGGTTCCAACTACATGAAATGTTTTCGATCCTAATTACGTGCGAAATCTGGGAACTATTAGTCGACAACAATTCCTGTTATTCTGTGGTATTGTGTATGAGCTATTCATGACCTATCATTTATATATGTTATTATCTTCGACCTCGATGTAAAACTAATTGCACGCCGGGAAATGTTTCTCTGTCTGATCTAGATATTAATGTTATTATGGTTAGATTGAAATATTATGGTTAAATATAAATAATATTATAGTGAAATATAAATATTAGTCTATTTAGATATTTCGATTTAAAGCTTTCGTAACTGCAATGATTCATTTTCTTTGGTTCTTTCGGCAAAGTCACGTAGAATGAGAATAAAATAATAAATTGATAAAATAAAATAACACAATAATATTCTCACGACGTTTCGGCCACAACACAAGCGGCCTTCATCAGGTGAAGGGACGAGACTGTCTGGTATGACAACGCTGGAGTGAAAGAGCCACGTTCAGATCACGACCTTTAAGCTGTGTGAGAGGAAAAAAGCGCCTTGACAAAGTAATTAGCATATAATTTAGCATTGAAATGGCTGAGTGATTAGCTTGTGACTGGTCACAGAAATAGCTATGTTAAAAGTTAAAGCATACACATCCGCAGAGGCACCCCTTGACAAAGGAATTAGCATAGAATTTAGCATTGAAATAGCTAAGTTAAAGCATACACATCCGCAGAGGCACCCCTTGACAAAGGAATTAGCATAGAATTTAGCATTGAAATAGCTGAGTGATTAGCTTGTAACTGGTCACAGAAATAGCTACGTTAAAGTCAGAGCATACACATTCACCGAGGCACTTAGTACAAATCAAACAGGAGAATTTAGCATTGAAATAACTAGGCGAATTTAGCATTGAAATAACTGAGTGATTAGCTAGTGACTGGTCACAGAAATGACTATGTTGAAGTCAAGGCCTACACATCTGAGCTGTTCACAATACTATATAGTGAACCAATAAAAAAATCTAAAATATAAATTACCTTAATGTTATCAATAAACTCTATATTCTCCAATCAGCTAAGCTACCAACAATAAGTCGTTATATATCACAATGCTATATGGCGAAAAAATGGGTGGATTCTTACCCTCAACTTTAGCAACACGGATAGCTACGGGCCCCATTCAGACGGACGAGTTCATCCATGGTCGGAACAGAGGAGGGGGAGAGAGACCGCTGCGAGGCGCTATTATACTCCATGTTGTAAACCATACCATTAACCGTGGTGTGAGAGGTATTAAGAGTCAATGCTGGCGAAAGAGCTGCGGTCTGAAGGTCATCGTAAAATACAATTAATTAAGAACAGAAATGATTTAAAACATATTTCCAATGGTTACTAAGCCAGAATCCATCTTCTCGGTTGAAATTGTCTCTGTGCTTGTATATGTGAATGGCCTCATGAACGAATCTCTCATGGTAGCCGGTTGGTTTGCAAAGAACCTCCGTCTTGGAGAAGTCAATGTCATGTGAGCCCACTGAATTATAACAGTGATCTGCCACGGCAGAGGAGTTCGTCCTACCGTGTTTCAAGTCTGCTTTATGTTCGCGGATGCGGTCCGAGATATGTCGTTTGGTTTCTCCAATGTAGCTACTACCACAGAGGCACTTTAGTTTGTAAATGCCCGGGTACTGTATGTCTGGAACAGCATCTTTTACAGATGGAACTAAATCACGGATTTTATGTACTGTGTTGAATCGGACCTGGATCTTGTGTTTATTCAGGATTTTGGAGATCTTTTTAGTGACCCCTGCAATGTAGGGTAAGGTGATGGTTTTGAGTGGCTCCACAAGAGGATCCTTCTTCATGACTGGAGTGATGGCTTTGCGGATTGTGTAGTTGGAGTAACCATTAACCCTGAGAGCCTGGTGTACGTGCTTGAGTTCACTGGTAATGTGTTCCTGGTCGGAAATGCATTGGGTCTATGGTATAGAGTCTTGATGAGGGAGTTCTTCTGGGATGGATGGTGGTGGGAATCCGGTTTCAAGTAAGCATCTGTATGGGTAGCTTTCCTGTAGACAGAGTGGCTCATTGAACCATCATGTCTCCTTTTAATTAAGACATCCAAAAAGGGTAGTTTGCCATCTTTTTCGACCTCCATGGTAAATCTGATGGCTGGGTGTATGGAATTTATGTGGTCGCGGAATTGGTCTAGAGCAGGCTGGCCATGTGGCCAGATGACAAAGGTGTCATCAACGTACCTCTTCCATAAGGTCGGGCGTAGAGTGGCAGTCTGGATGGCGTCAGTTTCAAATTTTTCCATGAATACGTTGGCTACAACCGGAGATAGGGGGGAGCCCATTGGGGTGCCCTCAGTTTGTTTGTAGAAAGTTCCATTCCAGGTGAAGTATGTGTTGGTTAAGCAATGTCTCACCAGGGGGGGTACATCAGTATGCAGTCCTTGATGAACCAGGTCTTCAATGATAGCGATGGTGGCAGGTACCGGGACTTTGGTGAACAAGGACACCACATCAAAACTGACAAGCAGGTCGTCTGGGGACAGATATTGACAAGCTTGTGGCGGCGCCGCCTCGTGGCCACGGCGCGGAATTTCTCTCCAATTTCGACCGCGACTGCGCGTGGCGCGGCAGGTCAAGGCCTTGTGACGTCACAAGACCAGTCGTGTGCACGTGTGTACGTGTGTATGTGTGTATGTATCTTTAACTTCTTTCGCACCGTACGTCGGCAACCGCACTAATCGGAGGTGCGGGGGAAGGACAACACAAGGGCCCGCCTGCTATGCAGTTTTGTTATATATTAAACATAGTTACTCAATAAATACAGGCCTTGAAGGTCCAACACGTCGAGCGGCCAGCAAAAAATGGCACTCATTAAAGTTGTCAAAGATGAGAGTGCATAACGCGAGTGGGTGAGTGAGTAGGAGAGTGGGTGACTGGGTACGAGAGTTGGTGAGTGAGTAGGAGAGTGGGTGACTGAGTAGGAGAGTGGGTGACTGGGTACGAGAGTTGGTGAGTGAGTAGGAGAGTGGGTGAGTGAGTAGGAGAGTGGGTGACTGGGTACGAGAGTTGGTGAGTGAGTAGGAGAGTGGGTGAGTGAGTAGGAGAGTGGTTGACTGAGTAGGAGAGTGGGTGACTGGGTACGAGAGTTGGTGAGTGAGTAGGAGAGTGGGTGAGTGCGTAGGAGAGTGGGTGACTGAGTAGGAGAGTGGGTGAGAGAGTAGGAGAGTGGGTGACTGAGTAGGAGAGTGGGTGAGTGAGTAGGAGAGTGGGT